TGCAGTGGAAAATACAATACAGACATGATAAGTCTATGAGAGATGAGAACGCATTCACCAATGGATAGAACTTTGCAAATAAGACAGCAGAAATGATGAGTTGAACACTACTTGGTTGGAAGTTAAACAAAAATGACAATAGAAGAAATGAAAAAGAAATGTTACTCATTATTCTTTAAACACCAAATATAAAAATAATAGTAATTTGCCCTGATTATACATTCGAGAGTGTAAATGAAATATCAACAATGAACATTTCATAAATTGGAAGATAAAATAAGAAAACCATGTTGTCTTTAAACTTTATTCACAATTGATAACAGTTTAGGTAACAGTAGACATAGATCAACCTAACTTAACTAACTTAGTGGTCCAAAATGAATGTATACAAGGTAAGATACTTTTAAGTACAAAGATTACAAAGTGAAAATAACGATATAAGAAAATAATCGTCCAAAAGTATTACGAACATTTTCTCTGTTCCATAGAATATTTGATTAACACTACGTTTATGGAACGCGTCCATTTTACGCATACTGAGTTTTATAAACATTACTCGTTAAATGGTTGATGCAATTACGCGAATGTGTATCCTAATAGACCATTTTTAAAACCCTAATTTCCAAGATCAAGTCGGACGAACATAATTTTTTCTAGGAGCAATAGAATAAACATCCAGAAACCTAACGTTAATGCACACATAAATCAAACTATTCTCCAATCATACAGTTTCTAATACAGGATTAGTCTGAAATAAGATAGATAATTAATTAGTATAACCTAAACATAACATAGACGTAACATAGACATAACTTAAACATAACCTACTAAAATCATATTTAACATAATGTCATACTAAAAAAAAAGAACACAGAGTCAATTAAAGGTAATGGGTAGCTGTGAGCAGATCATTAGATCTACTTTTCAAATATACTTTGGATCGCTTCTTCACGGGCTTTGGTTACCCGCTGGTTCTCAGTGTATTCGGCCTATCTGTCTGCCAATTAGATTGTTAATCAAGGTTCCACCGTAATCATGAGAAGACATTGATTCGCTCATTGAGAAACAGATCGTAAGAGGTTCCTCATCTTCCCACTGAACTTGACCGAGTTTCACCGTTCACCGGGAAACGGGACAAGGTATGTAAAGTGGACAGCATTCATCCTTGAACATTGAATCAGCATGTAACATGATTAGGTCATTAACGCCCTAACCAAGTTAGCATAGTGCGAGGGACTTCACTCGCCACCGTTACCCCGTCCGTACGTTCGCACGTTCATAAAGCCGATACCGTGAAACAACCAAGACGAACGTAGACTTATCGAGATGGTGGGTCTCGTCAACTGTTTGGCGCGAACCTCCTCGGATTCTAACGGATGGCTTGCGTTTCCGTTGAAAGCCTTCGTTAATGATATTCCGCTCGACGGTGTTGATCTTAACAAAAAATATTATTATTCTGCAATCTGAGGTTGAAGCAGAAATGACGATGATATGGATCAGTTTTGTTTTATTTCATTTAAATAACATTTGCTTGTCCCTATGGGGTTAAAAATCGTTAGCAATGTCAGTCAATTTGCCGTTTATTATGTATTATTAGCAATTGTTAATTTCAACATGATTCTACAAAAGAGCTAAGAAAAGATTATTTTTCGTTACTATCGACCTTTTATTAATTAAGTGAAAGTTCGTAGAGTGTGAAATGAAATTTTATTTTAGAAGTAACGATACACAATATATGCTTTCAAATACTTTGAAAGAATTGGCAAATGAGACTTCACGATTCAATATGACAATCTCTGAACTGAATTCTTAAAAGTTCTCTGTATTTTGACGACTGGAATAAAAAGAATAACTTGTTTTATATTTTTTACCAATGTCATTTCGAAAATGATTGCATAACCTTCAGTAAAAGCAAAATATTTTCAGATATCTCATTTTGACATTTCACATTCTATATAATCTTGTTATTATTCAATATGGGTTAATGACTATCTTTTTACATTTTGTAATGCACATTTTGAACCAATTCAAAAGTTCCCTCACGAGAAATGTTCATATCTGTAAGATGTAAAAGCTGTTGTCACAACAGAAAACAATTGTCGATGCAGAAATAAATATAACAAATCTCTAGTAATAGAACCTAAATAATAATGATAACTAATAGCAGTTTCAACAAAAACATTCTGCATATTATTATGGTATTCCGTGGTATTATCTTTGATCCTAGTTACCCTCATTTTGTCAATTCAGTCTAGACAATACAATATTACAGTAATCTTGAGGTATGATTTTTTAAATATGTTTTTTGAGTGTAGAAAATTTATAAGACGTAAAGTTCTTAATATTAATTTATTTTACTGTCTTCCACTTGTGAGTACGTGTCGTTAAGGGAGTACACTACCTTAAAACATTAAAAGTCTTTCTTTCATGTTTTCTTATTAAAAGAAAATAATATATTCTCAATACATTTATTAATATTTACTAAACAATATAATTTCTATTGTTATTAACGACCTTTTCCCAACGCTATGGTAATTTGTGGTCCATTCCTGCAGAATGGCTCATCTTTTAAAACTTGATATAGCATTAACAGACAGATTTTTTCAGTAGACCTAATATATTATTGTTAGATATCTTTGAAGTATGGAGAATGTTATATTTAAGGGATATTCTGAAAATTAGACAATGTATAAAGTAACAAAGATGGCTAGAAATACGTACATTTTCAGTATGAAAGACGTCTTAGACCGAATCTAAAAGGGAGAGATTACAGACCTTCAGGTATTATGAATCTTAAATAGCCATTCACTACATGTAAGTGAACTAGGATTGGCAATCCTAGTTCTGTTAGTTGTTGGTTCTTTAGAAACGGTTCTAAATGATATATTATAAAACTGGTTCAGAAAGTTCCAACCTGTATAAAATACCGACGAGCGACGGCCGAGTAACACGGCTGCAAGGACGGATGCGACCAGTGAAACAACTCCGTAATTTCTTAGAGCATTCATCAAGAGACAGAGAGATATTATTTAAATTCGAAAAATGAAATTAAAAGTAATATTTTGCAAAAATTTATTTCATCACAGAAAAACGTTATATTGAACTTTTTTTAGCCTTTCCTCGAAATTATTCGACATACATTCGGTTATTTTTGGTTTTGAGAAAATATTTTAATTATTTTACAGTTATGAGAGCTAGCAATCGATATTTGATTAAACACACTTTCGGAGATACTGAATAGGTTCATTATTTTGCAAGATTAGTACTATCTAACAGTAGAACTACCCAGCAGTTAAATTAATTCTGTTTTATTTCCTTCATAGAAATTACAAGAGTACACATTTTAAGATTTTGAGTGACTTACATTTTAATTTGCGTGTCATGAAATCAACTTATTTAATAATTTCTTAAAAGAGTATATGTCTTTTCAATCATTGCAACAGTACAAATCATGTCATTTTAATCCATTTGGTATTTGTAGCGAAACTTACACATATATTTTTCGAGAAAAGTTAAACTGCTTGATCGTGTAACAAATTATTTCATGTAATGTAAAAGATTTTCAAACCGTATTCGTTTCCTAACACTACAGACTGTTGTTCTTCTTTATTTTCTTTTTAGTGTAAGATTATATTTATATAATGTAATTTAGATATAGATAAAGTATAGATATGTGTGAATAAAATTGATAAATTTGATATACAAATAAATAAAGTACTGTATAATAATATACATTGCAAATGAATTTTAAAAATTTATGTTATACGCATATCCCAAACAGTTATATTAGCTATATATTTCTAAACAAAATTTTTCATTTTGTTTCTTATGAAAATAATATTCCTTGGAACATAATTTTAATCTATATTTTAAACCCGTTTTTATACATAACATTATCTTCTTTACTTAAAGTTTAAAATATCTGCATAAATTATTTACGCATCATCAGATGGATACTGTACTTTTTAACATTTTTTACTAATGAAGCACTTTGACTATCAAGCGAGAAAAAGGAAAATAGTACTATTTAGTTAGTTTTGTAAAAGCTTAATCTTAAATAGTGAAGCAGATATTCTTTAATAAATGTACAATATTAAACGCGGAAAATTACTACAAAATAATATGTGCGAATGTGTGTCAAACCACCTAACAGTGATAAAGAGGATTAGTCAACTCAGAATCTTAGATTTTGATGAAACCTATGATAAGTGTAGTGCATCAGAAAATGTTAAATACGTGTTATTTTATAGTGGAAGGAAAAATTTCATTAAACTATAGTTGGTATCATGTTTGTTAACAAAATACAAACGGAATAATAAACAAATGATATTTATAAAGGAATGAAAATAATAAAATAAAAACAAATATTTTCTTAATTGATATGACTTTTAAAGTTTCAATCAATAATATTTTTTATTTAAAAGTTTAGATCAATTACAATTACTCTTAACATAACGTGATCCACCGTAATCAGACACTCAGTCTCAGATAACTGGAAAGTACTGATTTTTAATATCATTTACAACTTTTATGAAAATATTACATTCTGAAGAATCGACAAAAGTATTAAAAACATTTGTAATATACAAGTTTAATCACCGAGGCACTAACATTACATTATCAATTTTCGATGTATTCATTACATCTACAAAAATCAACATATGTACTTTGAATTATAGATTTGTTGCAGTTCAACATTAAATTTATCTACTATATGATTTCGTACCTTTGTTATACATCTCTTGATGTTACGGTGGAAGACACAATTCAATTAATAATGTAATGTTAACTGTATTCAATATTACACTGTATGTATTTCGCACTGAAAACATGATGTACGCCATGATAATGTATCGCTTTCAGCTGAAAATGATTTGCTAAAGATAAAATGCTGTAGAGGTTTCTAATAATACGACGTTTCAAAGCTTGTATTTCTTATTTGCTATTTAAATGCGATTTAATGTGACTTTAAATGATTCTTTAATCGCTTATCTTTTCAGGTGCGGAAGGAGCTTTTAAAAAATTAAAACCAGACCCTTGTGCTTCGAGTCCGCACATTGGTCATACTCCTACTACCGCCAGTTGCCCAACACCTGCACGACGACGACACAGGACTACCTTCACACAGGTTCGTTCTGCAATAACTATTCTAACGTAAATGTCAGCTGATTGAAAAAAATTTATAACAAACGTATAAATCTTTCTGTTAACCAAGTTTGTGTATACTTATAAATATCTATACTGTTATTCAGAATAACTGAAGGCAGTTAAATAAAATTTAAAAAAAAACATATTGCAGATTCTTTTTGATTAACACAAATGTGAAAAAATTCATAGGAATTCATAATTCTTATACAACAATGAAAAATTGAAAGATCATGTATAATAATACGTCGAAACAAACAAATGTAACAGTTTAATCAATCCTCTTAATGCTCCTTTCTTGGTTAAGCACTTGTCTACAATTTTTTTATAACTTTTAATGTGTTTCTTGTTTTTTCTAATAATACTGCGTGCACTTATTTTTGGTGATTTTTAACACGCCAAATATAAGCTTTATATATGGAAAGAAGATCGTTCGTAAAATAACGTGGAACACTACATAGAAACCTAAAAGAAAAAAGAAATCTTTTACAGTAAGCATTTATGCACATTTCTGGTTTATATATTGTCGCAAAAAATGTTCCAATGCGTCTCCGTCATTTCGAGTTCTCTATATCTGTTAATTAAACGCATATTACTTCATTAAAAAGGTATATTAATCACCATACTTTAACGGTTCTAATTAATGCAAATTTAATCAATAGTCTCAATTTAATAGGAATGATAACCATTATTTGTTTCTTAAGTCCATTCAGTTGTTTTATTGCATATTCTTGCAAGAAGAGATAGATAATGGTAGATATTTAATTTTACAATTTCTACTTCACTAATACAAGATTTGAGATATTGTTCGGGCAGTACTTTGTTTTGCCACATATATAACACTTTGATCGAGAATTCATCGTTAATAATATGCTACATCAAAGACAGTTTTAACACAAAAGTATTCCTTTTTTCTATATTTTCAGATTAGTATTTTAACAATATTAATGACAATTGCAAACATGTTAGCAGACGAATCATGAATTTGCGTAAAAAGTCGGAGGTAGAACAAAAATGAGTGCTCCACTGGAACGAATGCACTAATATTCCTTTAGGTTTACTCTACCAAACATTTTTTAATGAAGAGTCCAATCGTTAACTAGAAGAAGTCTCCTAAAAGTGCCATTCTCTTATCATTTGTCAAAATTCTTTCCTAAGTATATGTTAATATACTTAGGAAACGTTCAATGATGGTTTTGCGAAATAGAATACTTAAAGTATACTTGTTTAATGCAATAGAAACTAATACAGCGTGTCTAAAATGAAAAACACGAACTGGAACAATTATTAGAACCTATGTATATTAAAATTGCGTGTAAAAGTTTTCTCTGATATTGTCTTTGCCAAAGTTCTTGACTTTATAAGAAAAATGGTACATTACGTAAGAAAATTTACTAAGAATAAATTAGCTTAGAATTATTACAGAAAGATATGTTAAAAGTTGAAAAAGATTGTACGAGGTTGTGCAAGAAATTAGCTCACATCGAGAATATTGTCTTCTATGTTTTCACTATCGAAAGCTTATTCGATTGCGTTTTAAGCAATGCAACCTAGAAGTTAAAATTTTTAAATTGAAGTCAACTGGGAAATGGTAAAGGTTTACGATTTGATATTCTACATGATTCCGTATTTTCATATTATCTATCGATGAGTTACAATAACTTTTGTGTACTAACAGTAAATAAATTCCTAATATTTGCTTGATACACATTCGTTGAGTTACTTTTCGAGTTAATGGGTCTATCCATAGTCTAATACTTCTAATCACGTTTGCATTTACAAATTTTACCACCATGATAAAGTGCTTTGCATTAGATCTGTTACTTTATTCTTCTTGTTAAAACCAATCGGAATTTGTCAGTTCACCTATATAGCTGAGTACAATAATTGCGAGTATATAGATATGATTGTCTTCTTAAGTGGATATGACGAAAACGCGTCTACCGCAGCTAGCTACCATATAGAGTCCAATATCGAGATCGTCGACATCCTGATAAACGACTCGTTGAAAGAGGACAATGAGTGTTTAAGGAATGTCATGGCTGCTCACAGTAATTTAATGTGAATGTAGAAAGCTAAAGGAATCTGTATTTACGATAGGTTGGTAAAGGAACAGTACTACGTACAGTACTATCAACTTCTTTCCTAAATGGCCATTTTTATTTTTAATAACTCTTGAGTAAATTATGGACAATGTATTTATGAACTGTTTAAAATAATTTCCATTTAAGTATTACCATAATACTAAAGTAGAAGCATACGTATGGAAAAAACGATAGAATAAAGAATATTTGAAAAATGTATTTTGCAAAAGAAAATTTTTCTATACAATCATTAAAATGTTTTGTTGATCTTGTTTACAGACGCTAGTTTTTGTATTAACGAAGAATTATTTGTTCAACTAAACAATATCACTGCTTTAAAACTTATGAACGGTAGTATAACTATGATTAAAGGCACTGTCACAAATATTCTATTTCATACTGCAAATATATATTCTTTACAGAATTCTATTTCTTATACTTTTCACATATATGTAATCGTGTAAATACATATGTGAATAGACAGTTAATTGCCCATATTATGCCGTGTTGAATTGTATTTTAAATTGTTGCGTTTATGTCATACATCTAATGTACTGAGAAGAAACAAAGGTTACATAGTAGTAAAATATAAATAATTAAGAAAATTAAGCAAGAAAATTATAGTCACATAGTAACTTGTAATCTTGGAAAAAATTTAGAATAACATGTGTGATGATACCAATAAAAGATTTGTAGAACATTTTGTAGAAAAGTGTAAGTACTAAAAATAAAACAAACTAAAAAGACATCAAGATGTTTGTATGTTCTTTTGTATATTAATATTTACTAGAAGAAAGTGGTGAAAAATGATATTTAAAGAAGAGAATCGTTTAAAATATAACTATGTAGAAACAATATTCTTTTGATGATCTTAGAAGGTAACAAATTTTAAGTCGTGAAGAGATAAATGTACAGCAACACAATTATAATATTTATAAATAGAATATTTAATAGTTAATAATCCACAATGTCAAGTGAACTAAACAATATTTCATTTTTTATTAGGATAATTTTCATAGTTCTTCATAAAGCAATGCACGAATAGATTTTTAATAAATGTAGTATGCAAACTGTAGAAAAGTTTCCATGTTCTTTTGACATGAATGCAACCAAAGAATATGGCACGCAATTAATCTGAGTTATACAATCAAAAAGTGATCAATGTCATAGAGTGAAAAGGTTGAAGAATGTATGATACAAAATTGAAATAAGCAAGCCGAGAATATATTTAACGCTAAAACTATCGTGCAGTTAAGTTGACTTTTTAAAATTTGTCTACAGAAACTCGAAGAATACATCTATTATGATTTCGATTAACTTATAATTCACTTTTTGTATTACTGAATCAGTTTCTTCGATGCATTCTCAGCGAAGCATTTGTTATCTTTCCCATAATTGTAAAAGAAGAATTCACGAATGGGTCGTTTTGACCCATTCGGTAGTGTTACTGTTAGATAACTTTACTTTGTATTACGTATAATTTATCTGAAGTACAAGAAATCATCAAAAATGTTGTAAACAATAACAGTATATGCATAATATCTTTTTAATAATGCATTATTTCTTGTCGCATTAATATTTTCTTGTTTTTCTACATTGTTGAATAAAGTCATCTCTTGATCTAATAATTCAATTAAAATACCTACTTTGTTACCTTTATTAAGTTCCAAAATTTGTCAAAATGTCACTTCAGTGTGTGCTATCTTTTCGGCGCATGCTGTATTATTCTGATCTTCGATACTGGGATTACTTTCAAACTGGGCTCGCTCTTTCTTCGATAATGACGTTTCGATTACCTCAATCCAAAGCCTTTCGTGTCACGCTCATATTTCCTGCCGGGTAGTTCAGATCGGCTTTACTATGGCCCTCCAATTGTTTCGCAGGAGCAGCTGGCAGAATTGGAATCGGCATTCGCAAAATCTCATTACCCGGACATATACTGCAGGGAGGAATTGGCGAGATCCACTAAATTGAACGAAGCTAGAATTCAGGTAGGTGTGTTGCACTTTCTAACTCAAGGAAAAGTATGATTAATGACGAAACTGATCCACAATTTTCAAACTGACGTTTTCTTGCCACGAGGTAATAGAGCTAATAGTGATCTCTGAAGTCTAGATTTATATGCGTACAATTTTGAAAAAATTATTATCAAATTCGATGATATTGAATACTGTAGTAAGTAATATTTCTTTTTGAAAGAAACATTTTGAAGAAGAGAAATAAGACTATTTGGGCTGTAACAATCTTATATAGCAAGTTTTCTAATAATATAAGAAAATTTCGTAAGTTTTCAGTCGCCACATTCTTTTATTATTCATACTGTCTACTAATGCTAACTAGTTAATTATACACCAGTATAACGAATTTAGCTAAATCAATCACGAAAATCATTTTCGTTTTTGCACTTCAAAGATTTTCACAATAAACTTTGTTTACACTTATTTGCGAATTCTAAATGTTTCTAAATTCTTTTAAATATATACTTAAGTAACTTGTTAAAATCACGATAATGTAAAACCAATTTCGTATTTAATGGCCATGCTCTAAATCTGTATGGGTAAGTGTTGAATTTTTTGTATTGAAATTAAAAACTTTTTCTTCAATAGAATAAATATCTTATGATCTAATTTTTTACTACTCGGTGGAGAAAAGAGAACATTTTTATTCGTTTATCAGTTTTCAGCAACTTAAAATCATTAACCAGTTCCACATGTGTAATTTAAATTAATATGAAATTTATGTGCGTTTTTGTCTCAAATTATGAATAGGTTGCAGGTATTACGCAAGTGAAGCGTTTGAGAAACATAATAAATGCAGAAAGAAATAATTATGCAAAAATAAAGCAGGTTTTATATTACTATCGTGATAACAAAATCTATAGCAAAAGAAATGTTTGTTCAACAATAATTTTTGTGAATAAATTTATAAAAATTCACAGCTTAATCATAAATTTATATGTTATTATACAAGAAATCCTTGGTTTTATTTCTTGACTACTAATATATACGCAGTACGCATTCAAAATGACATAAAAAGCAAATGGTTTTCTTTGGAAGTTTTCTGTAAACAGTAAAAAGGCATTCTCTCAATTTCGTTATCGATAATGTATCCTGTCCGTGTTGGATATAAAAAATTTAAAGTTATAAATATATTTCTCCATGCGTCTATCTTTTTGACCCTGATTCACGTTGTAATTGAATCAAAGACACATGTGGGGCGATAAAATGAAATTACGAGCGCAAATGTCGATTCAAGGCACCCCGTGCCTTTCGAGGGTTTGCAAAATCGATCAAAGAGAAAAGAGAAGCGTCGAATAAAAATTTTTATTGCGGCCCCCCCATGAATCATCCGTCTCCCTCTCCGAAGTACTAATTATTATTTATTTATGATACAACAAATAAAATCACGAGTAGTTATTTCAGTTATGTTAACTGATATGTTTTTAATGTAAAACACTAAAGAAATACTAAATACTAAAGAAGAAAAACCGAAAAGGACTTCAAAGCAGTTCAACGTTAATACAAATTTTATCAGTTTTAAATACTGTAATATTAATAACAGATGTACAGAATTTGTTTATAATTATACAAATAATAATGAGGAAAATAAGAGTGATGAAGGTTCTCTTGTGGATTCTACTCTGTCCTTATTTTCAGCGTCGCGACATATGAAATTGCTCAGAAGGTCATAGTTTAATCTAACTCCAGAAACGTTCGTAATGTGCGCTCAACTGCGAATATTAAGCGAGTAAAACTTACGTAGGAGAGAGTATCAATATTAAACGATATAAGAGGATTTTAGAATAGTATAAAATTATATTTACAAATGAAAATCATATAAACCGAGGTCTTAGTGGTTTTAATTTTTACTTACCGTCACATAGAAAACGAGAAATTATATAATGAAGGCTATAATGAGAACACCGATATCAGATTTGTTGCGTAAATAACACAGTTTACTTCAATGTGCTAGGGTAATATGAATTGTTTATTTTAAAAGTAGTTTAGTCCATTTTCCAAAAAAATCAACTGAATGATTATAACAGTTGCATTTCTACATTATCTTTTTACTTTTAACAGTTTTTTCTTTTTTTTCAATTGACTTAAGTCACTTTCAAAATAAACAGCTTATAAATTAGTACAAGTGCGGTTTTGCATTGGCACTGAGTATATTTTAAAGTGTTTAGAAATTATATTTCACGTGACCATTTTCTACTCTCAAACAGGCCAGCATACATTCCGGATGTAAGTATAATTAGTAATTGTTGTTAATGCTTAACTAGTCGGCATTTATAAAAAGAATTAATTATTTCAAAACTTCATTTAACCACCATAATGCCTAGAAACAGAATGGGATAAGATATTGCGAGATTATACTTGATAATTGCATTATTCAATAGAGGAACCGATGATTGATGTGATAAAAAGTAAGAAACATCATTTTAATTTGATGTATTATTTAAAAATCTGACCAATGTATCATCTTACATAGTCATGTCTTTCTTAGAAATAAGCAATGGAAAATGAAATGTTCCGTGCTGCTGAAAGATTACATGAACACGTGTTTAGCACGAAAACAGCTTGAATGACGCCAATCAGCGACAACTATATTCGGGTTAAGAAGTTCTGTTGCATAAATTGTTAACCATCTGCAGTGTAGATGGTTATACTGTTGAAATACTTAAGACACTTTCATGGAAATCAAAATGAAGCGGAAATAATGAAAACTGTCATGCAAGGCTTAAACGACTTGTGAAACCTTGGGATGTTAAAAAATACTTGAATCGGTGAATCAAGATTCGGAAGTATAAAGATTATTCAGTAAATTGAAAATTTTATTTATTTATTTTATTTTTATTTTAAATTAACATCTGTTGTCCTCATTTACAATCGATTAATGGTAGGAAAGTATTTGCAAAATTCTATTTCTTTGAGTCTGTATCGTAGCAATAGAAACAATATATACGACAAATTTCATGACTTTTTAAAACTGATGCCACTATAGTGTGAATAGAAAAGTTTTCAATCTTGTAAACATTAAACTGTTGTTTTACGAAAACTGATTTACTATTACGCAAATAATAATTTTTGTAACGAAATTGTGATACAGCATGCAGATCGATTGAAATCTTCTTTTAAAATTCAAAATGAGCTATCTAAAACAATAGTTTAGTACCACATATTAATATACAATAGTAAAAAAAGGTAAATAACGATAGAAATAGAAAAGTTGAGAATACCGGTTTGATGCTTATCTGGTCAAAAGGATTTGTCAGTCGTTAAAAGAACAATGCACATGAAGACTGATGTCAAAAACATATTGCAAATAGAATGACGAAAATCACCTTGAAAATTCGATATATCAGTTTTCTTTTTACAATTATTTAATTATAATTCTGCCCATATTCATTTTACACGTAAAATAAACAAACAATTGTTATTGTTACCATCAATATTATTATCAGCAATTTACTATACAGTTAAAAACAGTATATCTACATATACAGATAATTAAAAACAGTGGAACAAAGAACTATAATTGGTAAGAGTGTCAGATTATTCTTATTTTGTTGCAATAGGTATTTCCAATATTGTAGGTATATCGTTCAAACATTTTTATTTAATTTCTAAATATTCGGTGCGTGCATCTCTCGCCTGATTAACCTGAGTGATCTCAAATCAAGTATACTGTACATGTTTTCTGAACAAATCAAAATTTTCAGTAAATAACAAATTATTATAAACTCTTTGGAATATTACTTCGTATATACGTATGAATACATAACAAGTCATGCGTAAAAAATCGATATTCTTTTAAACAACATTCCAGGAGAAAAGAATTAAGCAAGGAGTTAATAACACATGTTTTGTCTACTTTATATTAACCCTTAACTGGCACACAACATCTCTGACACTTCCCTACTCCTGATCACTTCATATGATCGCTTCATGAAATCTGATGTTCAATTACAAAAATAAGTAAATAACTGCAATCACCAGAGATTCTTTATGATAGGTTTATAAGCTTGAACGTTTATAGTAGTTAACCAGTTAACTGCTTGAGGAGTATACGCGTTATCTTAAAGCTCGAAATGATACTAATTCATTCAACGATGAATTCTTTTCAGATAAACATGTAATTTTTCTTTGTTTCCTTTTGGTTTTTCTATTAAAATATATTTGACAAGTATACAACTCATTTTTTGATTTTATTGTGCGCAAAACAAGAGATTTTTCAAAGTAAATTCCGCAGTTAACAGGTGAATGGTTAATAACTAATAGTATTTAAAATCTGTAAGAAAAATCAATGATTCATTCGTTAAGAAGTCAAAACTTCAATGGGCAGATGAAACGCAACAGATTCGGGGGTAGCAATGTGGTTTTTGACGACATTAAAGAAGGATGGAAAGGGAAAGCTTGGTAGCTTTGTACGCCGTCCGTGCGATGTCCCTATGCGCAGGCATGACTATATGGTCCCCGAATTCTGAGCGGTACATATTAAAACAGTTGCCAGTAGGTTTCGCTCTTTTGATATATAATGCAGGATGGTGTTGTTTGTGTTAAAAGCCCGGGACCGCGGCGACTTAACCCTGTTAAACTGCGATGCCAAGTAAAACGCGGTTTGCTTTTACTCGCTGGTTGTAATTCATGCACAAAGTGTCCAGACAGGGAGTAACTTCACCAGTGCGGCGGAGACTTTCGAACGTGTTCATTTCATCTGCAAATGCAAAAGTGATTTGCAGCCGATAGCTTTGGAGCGTTCGCGAGTTGTCTATTTAAATTAACTCTCGATCGAACTTTTTGATAGTCGCTCGTACAGTTGTTTCAACTGGGAATTTAACCATGGCATTCAATGATTAATTGTGTATTTTTAGAAAGAATTTCCTCTGTTCTACTGTCAACCTGTACAACGTTTTCAGAAATACAGCTGTTTACAAAACTCCAAGCTTGAATTTTTTCAAACTCAACGAACGCGCAGAAATATATTTATT